ATGGCCGGAAGTGAACTTGAACAAAGGGCATTAGCTTAGTCAAAAAAAGTGAAACTTCCTGACAAACTAAAACAACACTAAGTGAAAGATTCCCGTGATTAACCGTCACAAAGCAGACAAGATTTTCATTTGATAACGTGAAATGTATTGGCATTGGAGAGCTGTAAAGTGCATGACTAGAAGAGTGCAAAAATTTAGTGGAAGGGAGTGCAAAGTTTCAGTAGCTGAAGGAAATGTCAGCTTTGCAGATTTAACTGAGAACATTGTCATCAATAAATTGGAGGAAGAAGATAAGTGCATCTCTGATTACTAAGAAAAGAGCTAAGCATGCACCTAGATCCAGTGTTCATTCCTTCTTATAACAAACTTGAGTTTGTTGCTTCTTTCTCTAAGCTTGACTAGACCTTTCTGTTTATTCAAGTCCTTCTAATCGTCTGTTTATCTACCTCTAGTACATCAGAAGAGCATCAGCAGACTCCACATTTCAGTTCATTCTTTGATCTCACAGCAAATAAATTGAATAACAAGTTGATCATGGAAGGAAAGAACAGCAGTACAAAGTAGCACCAGCTGCTGGCTATACTAACAACACAAGTAAAACCAACTTCAACTTTCCATTTTTTCACCATTATCAATTCGGAATGACATTGGCTGAAATAGAGTGAATGGATATACATAAATTTATAGCAGATCTCAAATAGTTTACTATTTAAGACATAATTATTGTTGTAATAGTTTGGAAATTAGTAGGACTACTACTAGCAATGTCAATTAAAGAAATTACCGAAAGTTCACTCACCTCAAAGTCGTTCTTTTGAACACCGGGAACTTCAAGAGCTTCGACATCAAACGAATCAATACGAGGACCAGTACGGATCAGTTTCTGCTCCACATTATCCTCATCATCAGATTCCAATTCCATGCCATTGCATGTTGTCGAATCATCATCTCCATCCACAGTATCTCGATCACCACTATCGATATCCAAATCATCCTCGCCCTGAAATACCCACCGTGACTCAATCGATTCCATAGACGTTAATCCACCATTTTCCCTCTCGAAACCCTCGTCCGTCATCTCAAAACCACTGTCAGGGTTCGATTTCTTCAATCAACGCAAGTGAAAAGTTCCTCCGACAAGTATTTATATTCGTATATGTACGCATTTATTATGTAACATAAAGGCAATAGCGTAGAATTGCAGCAGTAGCTTGTAGAGTACGATGATTCGAAACCCTAGGAATTGAGAAGGGTTTGGGTGAGATTTTGAAAGCCAAATATTTCTGCAGCTGTGAGTGAGTCTTTGGTATTTTGCTTTGAATGGATCGAGCCGTGATGGAATACCTGGGTGGCAAGTGGCAACAACCCTTTTACAACAGCCAACGTGACTACCACGGATTTACCTTTAAACGGGCAAAAAAATAAATCAAATTTGGGGAGATTTTGATGAGAGATATATTTTTCCGGATAAAAGGCATTTTCTTGCGTTTTTCTATTTATATAAGTGACCAGTCATAGAAAATTGTTTCCACGTTAAATTTGTAGTACTAACATTTGATAGTGTAATGAAATGATATGATAGGATTGTTTTCTTAAGACTCCCTTCGTCTTTAATTATTTATTCACTTTTAAATTGATATATTTATTAAAAAAAAATTGACATTTTAGCACTATTAATTATGAAGTGTATCAATTAAAAATTTAAGACTTTAAAAAAGTTTTACCTTTTTCAAAGTAATTAATTGAGGATATAATAGGTAAAAAAATTGTTCTTTCTTGATTTGTCAAAATGGACAAGTAAAAAAAGGAAAAATTGACAAATAACTAGGGACACGGAGAGTATGATTATTCAAAAAAAATATTTTTTTGGTTCATTTTTACTTGTTATTTATTCCTAAAATAGATTTTTATTTTTACTTGTCACTTTTGATATATCGAAAAAAGACAAGTACTAATTATTTTTTTCATGTTTTACCCTCAGCATTAACTATTTATTTTCCAAATCATTTTCCAAGACATCATTTAATAGGGGACAGTTTGGTAAAATATTTATATCATTAACTATTCTTTTAATGATGTGTCAAGTCAAACTATGATAATATAAGTAAAAGTGAAGGAGGAAGTATTTCATACTAATTTAATTTTGAACTAACCCTATAATTATAGTATGAAAGCTTGGGAAAATAATGAAGACAAGAGTGAAGATGGGCGTGACTATTTTTGAAAAATAAGTCTGAATTTATATTGGAATGCTTAACTACACAAAATATTAATCTCGTTAGAAGACTGATGAAGTACGAATGGAAAGAGTAACTTACATTAAGGCTTATGACCAAGTCCTAATGGAAGTTCTCTGTAGATGTTTGAAGGCTAAAGGTGTACTACGGTAAGGAGGAACATGTATGATGGAGTCAAAACTCAAGTAATTATGAGCCTGTTTGGATTGATTTAAAAAAAAGTTGAGTTAAAAATAAAAAGTTAAATTAAATGACTTTTAAGTCAAAAAAGTAAAAATAAGGGAGGCCCACTTTGGCTTTTGATTTATTTTAAGTCATTTTAAACTTATTTAAGTTATATTTAACCTTGCCAGACACTTCATAACTTACTTTAAGGGTGTGTTTGGTACGAAGGAAAATGTTTTCTTTCCTGAAAAACAAGTAGATTTTTGACTTATTTTCTCATGTTTGATTGGTGAATAAAAAATATTTTCCGGAAAAAAAATTTAGTGTTTGATTTATGAATGAAAAATGTTTTTGAGAAATATCTTTTATTTTTACTAGAGTAGAAAATAATTTTTGAAATTGAAAATATTTTTTAAAAACAAACTTAATTTTTTTTTTGAGGGGTGGGGGGTGGGGGCTA